ACCAATCCCGGGACATTCAGTCGTCCCTCTCAATACTGCCTTCATCACGGTTTCATTTCATTTCAGAGGCAGTCGAACGTACCCGTTATGGTAATTCAGTTTTGAGCCACCAATCATCGTTCAAATAATGATTTAGCTGTGAGACTTGAAAGAATAAAAGGCTTGAGAAAGAAAAGAGAAAGAAAATTGCTTGCAAATGAATCCTAAAAAAAAAATCATTATTGTCCCATTACAGGTTTCCCCGTGATGCAATAAAATTGGAGTTAGATTTTAGTTTCTAGTTAAGCTGGATTAGCTTAAAACTGCAAATGAAGGGCAGATTGAAGGACCGGATGAAGGGCAACCCTTAAACCGATCACATTCAAAAGTGTCCTTGAAATCTCGAAAACTACGGGGTGTTGTTCGGTTTTAACCTGGGTCTCTTTCGCAGTTTTCCCAGTTTCACGAAGAACAGTTTTTCCAATCATTCGAACCTTTTTTTCCATGAATCGGTGAATCCCACATTCCATAGACGATTCGTGATTCACTTCGTCTCTAACTGACTCAAAGTCAAACGGGATAAATATGCGGATAATTGTCGGCCCAATAGCACGTGCCATACGGTGTTGCTGGCCGAGATGAATATCGAGTCGATTCTGACTCGGAGGAAGCAAGTGTAGAGCGGAGCATTTAGTATCATTATTTCCCATAAAAGATGCCACAGAACCTGCGTTTAATGACAGAACAGAGAAGAAACAGTGAAATGAGCCTGTTTCCCATCAACCCATGCCGGATGGCGCCAAATCCTGGTCCGCAAAAAAAAAAACTCAACCCTTGCGACGCAGTTCTTAAGAATACCTACAGCAGCGGTTCCTAAACTATGAGTCGTGACCCACTGGTGGGTCTCGAGAGGCCTCAAGGTGGGTCGCGAACATTTTCCCGGTATAAAAAATCACTATATCCGTATCCACCCGGGATAAAATCTGCCCTGCAGAAAAGGATAATCGGTTTTCTTCACGTCATGATTACTTTGAAGATACCTCGTTCTGGATTCCAGTGGGTCGCGAAATTTTTTGTACGCCAGCGAGTGCGTCGCGATTCAGAGAAGTCTGGGATCCGCTGACCTATAGGAATCCTAAAGGAAACCTCTTATAGGAATCCTATAAGTTTTGTTTAGGATCCCATTGGATCCTAAAGAATACCTATAAGTCCCTATGAGATACCTATAGGATCCTTCAGGATGCCTATAAGTTGTTCATAGCATGGGAAGTCTTATTGTAAGAACAATAGTGCGACAAACCAAGTCTCCCGCCGGCAGCAAGAGATGTCGCCAGGGGAGCCACTCTCTTGCTGCTCACCCAGTAACATAATAAACCGAGTCGCTGGAGCGACCCCACTAGGGTTCTGACCCAGTCCCCCTATGCCACCCAGCAAGCACCATAGTAATTGCTTCAGACTATCAACCAGGAACTATGGATGAACCCGGGGAAACATCGACAACCGTGTCTTCAAGGAGGAAAAGAATGGGGATGACACTGAAACTAAATTTTAAGACCTCCATCAATGAGATTTATCTTGTTTGGCCTGTTGTACCACTCGCAGGATAACCCTAGGTCTCAATGAATACCCCATGCCCAATCAATATGACCTCTAGAGAGCGAGACCGAGAAGGATAATTACATCCTTCTCAATCAGAGACGGCATATCGCTCCGGGAGAAGGTCAATTTTGAGTATGACAGAACTGCGTCTTGACCTCGGTTGCCTACTTCCAAGCAAATCCGTTTCGCCTGCACGCCAATAATATTTGTGCATTTATGCATTATATTCTTTAGTGTTTGCTACACAATAATTTGATAATTAACCTTTGGCCGTATCCTAGTGAAATCTGGGTTGTCGGATTGACCCTGACTTTTCGACACGCCTCGAGGTGCGACCTCGTGCCCCGATCCCGCCACCGTAGCTACACTATTCGTAAGGGGACGTTTGATGAGATCTGGCAGACTGCAAAAAGATTTTACCCGGAACTCGGTAGAACCCGACGGACACGTCGATGTCGCACTGCAGCGGATCCGCGAAGGGATACTCGTTCTCCCACGTTTGGATGTCGTAGGCGCTGTTCACGATCTCCACTCGCCCGTTCTGCCTCACCTTCATCTGGATGCTGAGGAAGTTGAGCGAGTCTTCGGGGAACAGGGCGAGGCTGCTGTATTCCAGAAGGATGTACTCTTCGCCCGCATCATCTGTCCCGATCCAAAAGGATAAAAATCTAAGTCTTCCAATTTTTTGTATCTGAAATTTTTAGTTATATAGTTATATTTTATTCCAAAAAAATTTTTTTTCCTAAAACTTGTTTAGTTTTGCGGATTTTTTCGCATTACAATTTTTTTGCCTTTGCAATAGGTGATGGGACGGAACTAGCCGAGATTGACGTAGAATTGAAGGTGAAAGGAGCCGCCCTGGGCGATCCGGTACCCGGGGAAGGGATTGCTGCATCGTTCGCCGTACCCCACCGACGTCACGTGCTCGCCGTTCAGCAGCGCGCCCCTCAGCTGCAGGTAGCTCGTCAGGGACTCGCTGGTTTCGACGCGGAATGAGCAATGAGTTTCACATGGTCTTCAATTCGTACCCAACATATCAAACTTAGAATAACTTCAACAAACGCTGCGAATAAAAAAAATATATACGAGGTATATAAGTCCGGAAAACCTAAGCTAGGGTGCTAACTCGGTGATCAATCGTGTCAGTCAGGAGTTAGGAAGCTGCTTTTATATTTAAACTCTAATACGATCCATCATCGTACGTTTTACTCTATGTGAGAAGAAATTGCATTGATCGTTTTGCAAAATTTCTACAACTGTCGACCTGGGATGGAAGTATCGCTTCTGGACGAAGTAGGCGCCCTCGTTGATCTTGCAGTTGTAGGTCGTCTTCTGGACGATGCTCGCGTTCATGGTGTTGATGTTCACGAGGATGGCGGTCGCGTTGCCCGTTGCGGCCTCCGCGCTTCCCGCGATCAGCACGAAGTTCCCATCGCCTGCGAAGTTTAACAATCTCATGTGAGATGTGCGAGCGAAGGGATTCTTGCTTTGTCTTCCGCTTTAAGAGGGAAAAAAAATTAGCAAAAATAAAAATTTAAACGTGCTTTTTTTCGTAAGCTGCACATTTGCGTTTTCGCATGGATCCGATACCATATCCGCTTCAATTCGACCGTTTACGGCACAGGAAATGACAGCCCCGCGGGAACGGAACACGGAGACGATCCTCGTGCTGAATTTTGTTCATCGACGTCGCCCTACCTTTACGACGATCGGAATCCCTTGACTCATTCCATGTTGAGAAAGTCGGTCGCGGACACGATTGAATTTTCACAAATATTTTCTTGACTCCGTACGGCCCTTTAAAGCAGGGGTGGGCAATTATTTTGGCTGGAGCTTCACGAGCTTTGGTGAGCTTCAAGGGCCCAATTCCTATCTGGGAGAATACCTCAATAGCACAATAATTGCCTGCCAGTTCTATTCCATCTCTTGCAATAAAAACTGAACTACAACTTTTTCTACCGCATCACGTTTTTCGACCATCCTGACTCTCACAAAGAAGGCTGTTAATGTATATCGCTCTCAAAAACATTTAATGCATTCATCTTCAATCTTGTTAAAGTGCACTGTGGTGCAGTCTATAGGACAGTCTGACAAAATCCATCCAAATTGCTCGAATCCTAGAAAATCTCACTCGGTCGGAACAGCTAGATTCCCCATCTCAAATAGCCACAAATCCCAGCGTTGATAGGTTTGACAGTGGGGCCAGGCTATCCTGGGAAGCATGACATCTTGATAATTCATAACCTGAATCACAAGAATGCGCCATTCTAGAAAAGACTGCAGTCGAAACACGGCTTTTTGATTAGAGGAAAGGAAGGAGAAGAGGGCCTACTTATGGCAAACGAAATGAGCAAGCTCAGATCCTTCATTGATTAAAATTTGTCCTCTCTATGACTGAACGAACAATAATAATATATACTTTCCGCTAGACAGAGTGGTGAGCCGGCTATAATCATTTGGCTGGCCGGATTCGGCCCGCGGGCCGTATTTCGCCCATCCTTGTTGGTCCACAGAATCGTCAGGAGTGAAATCGGACCCACGCCTTTTACGGCCTGAATCTGCCTCCGTGAGCTGATTTCATGCCAAATCGAGCCCCCAGCGACGTGCATGCACAGGCCATATGTACTCTTNATTTCGCCCATCCTTGCTGGTCCACAGAATCGTCAGGAGTGAAATCGGACCCACGCCTTTTACGGCCTGAATCTGCCTCCGTGAGCTGATTTCATGCCAAATCGAGCCCCCAGCGACGTGCATGCACAGGCCATATGTACTCTTAGCTATTGAAATGACGTCACGATGCGGGCAACAACCGTACTCTCGGCGACCTTTAGGACAAGGTCCTAAAGGTTGTCTTCCCACGCCGCGACTTCTCTTTGGATTCATTCCATTCGTTTTCGTTGCACAGAAGAAGATAAGACAATTTCGCATGACCTTTCATGCGAAATGTGATGAAGTAGTATGAAACCGTGTTTTAATGGCTTTTCCCCATTCTTCAACCCCTGCAGAGAGGTGCGGGGGGGAACCTCTCTAAGGGGAGCCAACAACTTTCGACTTGGGCCTAACCCACGGATTGTCCCACAGATTGTCTTCATGTCGGGCCTAGGCCTACCTAGCTCCGTTTATAAGAAGCTCAACCAGTGACGAAGCAAGGGGGAGCTGCGGGCGGGCTTCACACTCGCATGTTTTGCTTTAGCCCCTCAACTCTGGTGTAAATGCGTCCGACACTGGGCGAGGAAATGTTACAGGTACTAGCCCCCCCCCCCCCCCCTTGGGCGAAACCCCGGCTACGCCACTGAGCTCAGCCCTCGACTAACGGGGCCAATGAGGCCTATAAAGGTCAATCTCAGGGTCTTCGAGACATCTCGGTGAGGACGCGTAACGTTAAATCGATAACGAGCCTGTTTCAAGTTTCACGAACCATTTCCGTGCTGACGTGTAACGTAAGGCCTATCTCGACCTGGCGCGAATGCCTCCGAGACTGAACGCTTCTTGCGCGCCATCCTGTTGATACAGGGATGTTCGATGTCTCCGTATCCTCATCCGTGCCTGTGTACATCCGTATCCCGCCGCATCGATCGGCCACTGATGAAAGCCGTTTCAATCCCAGCTCATCTTGTGAACTTGCACAAAAATGTCTAGTAGGCTAAACTAAAAAAACTGAAGGTCCAGGCACCGATACGAAGGCATAAGCGACCATGAATTCGACGTAATTCCATCCCGATATCCGGCAACACTGAGGGACAGCTCAAGCCTAAATTGACGTCTTTTTTTTATTTTCCATGGCGAGCTGACTCATCGCAAACGAAAGGGCCATTTTCGTGCTCTACAATTCACTATCTATCTTTCGATCGCAATGCTTTCTCCGAAGACACCCCAAGCCACTCAAGGGAGAAGAAAATTAGAAGGGAAAAAAACCGGAATGAAATTCCCATCGTGATAAAGTGAGAATGAGTGTTCTCCGCGACTCCAGGGAGCCAGAGCTTCAAATTTGCTCGAGCGATTCTGCTTTGAGAGGGTAAGAATGCCCAATTTCGTACCGCTATGTACTCTCAGAGAGGAATACGAGTTTGAATTTTGTGACGGGTCGAAGAAAGGGAAAAGGCCTTAATTTAACCCTTTTAGAGAATTTCCATTTTTGCTGTCGATCGTGTTACGTTGAGGATGGTTCAATAAGGAAAACTTATTTACATTTTGCATCATTTATTTTACTTATTTTTATTGTCAATAAAGCGAGACGGACGGATGCTCGCCTGCTTCGCGAGTGCCTTCCCGATTTTTTAATTTCGCGCCAAAAAAATGAGAAGAAAAAAAAAAAGAAACCGTCAATGAGCTGGTGGTTGAAGGTGACGAAGTCCATGGTGCCGTCCGTCGTCGCCTGCCGACTCCACGGGTCCAGCGGCACCACCATCACCTGCACACATCATCATCATCATCATCATCATCATCATCATAATACATCAATTCATCAATTATCATCGATCCATCACGGTTTACACGTCGTTGTTAGTTATTTGCTATGCGTCGATCGTTATGAAATATGAACCTTATAAATAAATATACGGCGACTTCCCGAGAAAGATCCCTGCTCGATCGAGAACTAAATGCCGAAAGTAAATGCCGAAAATAAATGCCGGAACTTGACGTGGGACTCACCGGGTCACCGTCCTCGGAGTCGCCCGTGCAGAGTCGGGAGTTGAAGATGGCCGTGACGTGGTGACCTTGCTCCAGGGCGATCACCAGTTCCCCGTAGTTGCGGAGGTAGGTCACCTCTACGGAAATTTCCTCTTTTTTTTATATTTTTCCCATTTTCTTACCATTTTTACCATTTTATTTTCTCCCTTTCGTAAGGAGATTTCGCTCGAACGGCGACGAATTCCAGAGAAATTTCGATCGACAAGGCCGTTCCGTTGAAAATCTGTTGAATTCCGTTGAAATTCGTTGATCGCAGAAAAGAAATTATTTTTTGGTTGCCTCGGCTCGGCCTTTTTTCGTGTTCAGGTCGGTGTTCGTCCGACATTAAGCATCGACACGGAACACCATCAGCTCTTTTCTCATTCGCCATTTTTATTTTCGACGAACACCAAAGTAAATTTATTTTAAAAAACGGACATGCTCCAGAGGAGAAACACGTTGAATGATAAATATTAATAATATTAAATGATAATGTAAATAATCATCACTTTGGAAATGGTATTCATAACCGCGTGGTAGCAATAAATATAGGGTTTTTCTGCGATTTGTTCCTCGGAAAACTTTTTTCGTCCCGATCTCCCGGCATTCCTCATGAAAATGCCTCCCGATCGCGTCTGCTGCCACGGCGGACGTTTCTCGCGGACGTTTCCGCGGAAGCGCGGTTTTCCGCAGAGCGATCGAAGAAACTGAGAAACCGCATGAAGAATTCCGCAGATCCCACCCGTTCGCCGTTTTTTGACGAAGTTTTCCCACCGATTATCTTATGCCGATTATCGATTATCCTCTGCCAATTATCGATTATCCTTTATCATGCGACTTCCTTTATCCCGTTCAAATTTACATTTATGCCTTAGAATATTTGTGCTGAAAATAATGTTCGTAGTCTTTTTTAAAGCAATTTCTCGATGAATCTACCCCGATGGTCCACCATTGCTTAAACATTAAGGCTTAGACCTCTTAGCTCCAAGCTCACCGCGATAACTTTCCCATTTAAAAAAGCCCCAAACCTTCTAATCGCCTCGCACATAAGAAATAAAAAAATTCCCTGTGAAATCGCCCCAACGACCCAACCTCAGTCGGATCGACCCAACCTCGGTCGGACCGACCCAACCTCGGTCGGATCGACCCAACCTCGGTCGGACCGGGGTCGTCGCACCCACCTTGCCCCCAAAGCGGGGAAGCGAGCGAGAATAGCAGGAAAACCCGGAAGATCCCCATTCCACCGCGTTGCAGATCCTCGAGTGTCCGTTCCCACTTCTCTCTCTTCTTTTTATCCCCCCGTCGAGATAAAAAAAAATATATAAATATATATAAAATATATAAAAAATTAAACTTACTTCGTCCGGTCGATAAGGAACAGAAATAAAATCTGCTCTTCCTTTTTATGTAAACCTAACGCCCGTCACGTACGAACAAGTACGAACAAGTACGAATAAGTACCTCCTCTCATGAGGCATTTCGCGACCAGAGACGAAATTACGCGGAAATTCGCCATTAGATCCCGACCGAAAGCGCAGAAACTCGCAGAAGTTTATTCGCAAAATCGACAAGACTCCTAGGATTCGCTCATTCTGCGAAAAAAAAGCGTACATCGGTTGCCAATCCCGCCTCCGAGAAGCCGCCACCTGCACGGTTTTCACCAGGATCTCTCTGCATTTCGCAATCGCGAGGGAAACCCGCGGCGGAATTTCGCAAGACCCCCTCGGCAACTCGAAGGAGTGTCTCGGATCCCATGACTTCGATGGGAACGAACGCACCTGCTCCTGCCACGCAAAACTGGGACCTCCTCGATTATTGACGGATTCCAGCTTCAGGGAAATTTACACTTTTGCTTTACCTATGGAAAGTGCAGGTAAATAATTGCTGCTTGCCCAAACCGCTCTGAATCCTCATGAAATCCAAATTTCATAATTATTTTCTGTCTGAAGTCGCCCAGAACGACTCAAATGACCGTCGCACCAGGTCGATTTGAGCAATTAAGTTCAATTTGAGTCAATGGTTCATTTCGGATCACCATAATTTTTGCATCCTTTCTCTGAATTCTTTGATTTTGCATTCAGAATTTCGAAGTAAGGATCCACGTATCTCCCAGAACGAGAGCATCCGGGAAAAAAAAAATCCCTCAAGGAAAAACATGATGGTCGGACGAAGCCTGCATCCCACCGGAAATGAAAGCAACCATTCCTGCGAGTTAGCTCAAATTTATTGAATTTGGACAAATTTTCTCAATCTTGAACAGAGGCATAGACGACGACGTCCCTGCCGAGCTGGCACTCGAGATAGAATCCCTCGCCGAACTTGTTCACGAGCGCGCCGTCCTCCACCGTCCACAGCCCGGGGATGACCGTGACCTTGTTTGACTGCTCGAAGGCCATCGTGATGGAGTTGATGGCGCGGCCCTCCCCGTCGCTCCAGTCGGTCACGAGAGTGTACGCCGCGGTGAAGATCATTGATATCGGGGCTGGCGGAAAACGAATACGGTCGAATTCACGAAAGTTTATTGGATGAAGAATTTAGATGAAAAAATTTCCGCTGAAGGCTTTCAAAATCTCTTCTCATCTGTCAAAGAGCCAAAGTGGTAAAGGGCGAACTCAGATCAATTATCGTCGCAGAAATTGAAGGTCAAATTGAGTCGATCGAGGTTACTAGGGTTTCAGATGAAGCAACAGATCTGTTAGGTCTAGATTGCTAGAACTCCCGAGAGAAGGCTCATTCGTGGGGCTTATGCACATTGCGCTTCCAAGAATGAAGGGAAAATCATACATGAATGCTTTAGCATTGGCTATGTAGAGGGGATGCAGCTGATGCCATCGATATGGAAACGATATACTGTCAAAACTTACACTCAAACCTTGCTAACCATGGCATTAGACGACTTCGAATCCCTTAAATTGTCTTCTCGCATTGCTTCCTCCGCACTCAAGACATTTCTGGCTTCAACTGAAATCCCTCCACAAAAACCAGTGAACTGGAAAACGGGAGGACAGACTGTCAGGATCGGAGAGGAACATCTCCTGCAGGTAGAACCCGGCTGCAACCCCCCAGAAGTCCAATCCGGATCCAGACGGGTTCTCGCAGTCTCGGAAGCTCACACGCGCCTCCAGGTGCCACCCGTTCAGCATCGCCCCGTAGATGGCGAAATAGGATGTCGCCGGGAAGCTGTTCCAAACAAACAACGTCGTCCAATCCCATCACTGCTTCATTTCTTTGGAATGATTAAGCCTCGGGAGGTAGTTACTTGGCTGTGATTATTGTCATTACTTTATTCTAATTCATTACCGTCCTAATTTTCGGAACAATCGAGAGAAGCAAAAAAATGCTACATCTCACATCTATCCTAAAGCAAGTCATAATTTAAAATAATCTGGCAGCATAAGTATGAAATGGACAGTCCTTTAACCCCTCCAAACTCCCTTCCCCTCCCCTAAAATGCTCAATTTAAATTACATCTATCCCCTCAATCTCCAAAATTGTCTGCTGCATCCGATCGAGAATACGCGTCCAATCAGACCTGGACTTGATGGGCGCAGAAACGACGAGACCCATTCCCATGTCACATGCATAGTTGACTACTTCAGAGGGGGCATCCGGTAAGGTCAAGGGGTTCCACGTCGACACCCGAATGTCCAGGACGTCCTCATCGCGCAAAGAATATTCTTGCAGCCGTATAGTCCCGTCGACTGAAAATACGAAATCATTCTCTTAACGCTCATGAAAAGGATGCGGTAAATAATGCTTTATTGCTGCCACCATGGAGCCACAAAAGCAGTACAGAATAACGATAAGATTGCTACTGACCATGGGGGAAAGTGGCCGTCAGTCTCACATAGATGCTACAAGAAATTAAAGTGATTCACCAGGTACCATAAAGCAAGGAAACACTGAATCACTTTCATTCAAAAAAGCCCAATCGTTGTACAGTGAAGCCTCCACTCGAAAGTACGGGCTCAAGTTTTTACTATCCCTGTCCCATATTCTATGAAAGGGAATGAACCCCTCTGGATTAGATATGTTTCCCTTCAAGCTTCTTACTTGCGACGTAGTTTTGCGCAAAGCGGATCTCGTGTCCGTTCTCGTCCGAGAACTGCTGCCACTCCGCAAGTCGAACCCCGACATCCCCCCAGTACATCTCCCGATCCTGTCCAAGAAAAAAAGCGCATAACAATCGGAGAAAGCACCCATTGCCCTGTCTCTGCTCGACGACTTTCACCGTGTTACGAAAGGTTTCGGTGCACCCGGACTCGAGGGCCACCAACTGAATCTCCTTGCCATCCAGCAACGCTCTCTCCACTTGGAAGAAACTGGAGAACTCCTCGTACTCCTCCCCTACAAGAGAATCCAACCGAATGAACGGAAAAGTAGCGAATGGAGATCCGTCGAAAGCCTGTCATTCCTACCAAGGCGATCGAGAAACATGACGGTGTCGTCCAGGGTGCAGTACATGGGATCTGGATACGGGTATTCGTTCTCCCAAGTGTTCATATTGTATTCGNTATTGACGGATTCCAGCTTCAGGGAAATTTACACTTTTGCTTTACCTGTGGAAAGTGCAGGTAAATAATTGCTGCTTGCCCAAACCGCTCTGAATCCTCATGAAATCCAAATTTCATAATTATTTTCTGTTTGAAGTCGCCCAGAGCGACTAAAATGACCGTCGCACCAGGTCGATTTGAGCAATTAAGTTCAATTTGAGTCAATGGTTCATTTCGGATCACCATAATTTTTGCATCCTTTCTCTGAATTCTTTGATTTTGCATTCAGAATTTCGAAGTAAGGATCCACGTATCTCCCAGAACGAGAGCATCCGGGAAAAAAAAATCCCTCAAGGAAAAACATGATGGTCGGACGAAGCCTGCATCCCACCGGAAATGAAAGCAACCATTCCTGCGAGTTAGCTCAAATTTATTGAATTTGGACAAATTTTCTCAATCTTGAACAGAGGCATAGACGACGACGTCCCTGCCGAGCTGGCACTCGAGATAGAATCCCTCGCCGAACTTGTTCACGAGCGCGCCGTCCTCCACCGTCCACAGCCCGGGGATGACCGTGACCTTGTTTGACTGCTCGAAGGCCATCGTGATGGAGTTGATGGCGCGGCCCTGCCCGTCGCTCCAGTCGGTCACGAGGGTGTACGCCGCGGTGAAGATCATTGATATCGGGGCTGGCGGAAAACGAATACGGTCGAATTCACGAAAGTTTATTGGATGAAGAATTTAGATGAAAAAATTTCCGCTGAAGGCTTTCAAAATGTTAGAAACTCTTCTCATCTGTCAAAGAGCCAAAGTGGTAAAGGGCGAACTCAGATCAATTATCGTCGCAGAAATTGAAGGTCAAATTGAGTCGATCGAGGTTACTAGGGTTTCAGATGAAGCAACAGATCTGTTAGGTCTAGATTGCTAGAACTCCCGAGAGAAGGCTCATTCGTGGGGCTTATGCACATTGCGCTTCCAAGAATGAAGGGAAAATCATACATGAATGCTTTAGTGGGGCGCATTGGCTATGTAGAGGGGATGCAGCTGATGCCATCGATATGGAAACGATATACTGTCAAAACTTACACTCAAACCTTGCTAACCATGGCATTAGACGACTTCGAATCCCTTAAATTGTCTTCTCGCATTGCTTCCTCCGCACTCAAGACATTTCTGGCTTCAACTGAAATCCCTCCACAAAAACCAGTGAACTGGAAAACGGGAGGACAGACTGTCAGGATCGGAGAGGAACATCTCCTGCAGGTAGAACCCGGCTGCAACCCCCCAGAAGTCCAATCCGGATCCAGACGGGTTCTCGCAGTCTCGGAAGCTCACACGCGCCTCCAGGTGCCACCCGTTCAGCATCGCCCCGTAGATGGCGAAATAGGATGTCGCCGGGAAGCTGTTCCAAACAAACAACGTCGTCCGATCCCATCACTGTTTCATTTCTTTGGAATGATTAAGCCTCGAGGGGTAATTATTCGGCTGTGATTATTGTCATTACTTTATTCTAATTCATTAACATCTTAATTTTCGGAACAATCGAGAGAAGCAAAAAAATGCTACACCCCACATCTATCCTAAGGCAAGTCATAATTTAAAATAATCTGGCAGCATAAGTATGAAATGGGCAGACCTTTAACCCCTCCAAAATCCCTTCCCCTCCCCTAAAATGCTCAATTTAAAATCACATCTATCCCCTCAATCTCTCAAATTGTCTGCTGCATCCGATCGAGAATACGCGTTCCGTCAGACCTGGACTTGATGGGCGCAGAAACGACGAGACCCATTCCCATGTCGCAGGCGTAGTTGACGACTTCACTGGGGGCATCCGGTAAGGTCAAGGGGTTCCACGTCGACACCCGAATGTCCAGGACGTCCTCATCGCGCAATGAATATTCTTGCAGCCGTATAGTCCCGTCGACTGAAAATACGAAATCATTCTCTCAATCTCATGAAAATAATGCAGTAAATAATGCTCCATTGCTGCCACCATGGAGTCACCAAAGCAGTGCAGAATAACGATAAGATTGCCACTGACCATAGGGGAAAGTGGCCGTCAGTCTCTCATTGATGCTACAAGAAATGAAAGTGATTCACCAGGCACCATAAAGCAAGGAAACACTGAATCACTTTCATTCAACAGTACCTTAAAAAAAAGCTCAATCATTGTACAGTGAAGCCTCCACTCGAAAGTAAGGCCCTCAAGTTTTTACTATCCCTGTCCCATATTCTATGAAGCGGACTGAACCCCTCGGAATTAGATATGTTTCCCTTCAAGCCTCTTACTTGCGACGTAGTTTTGCGCAAAGCGGATCTCGTGTCCGTTCTCGTCCGAGAACTGCTGCCACTCGGCGAGTCGAACCCCGACATCCCCCCAGTACATCACCCGATCCTGTCCAAGAAAAAAAGTGCATAACAATCGAAGAAAGCACCCATAGCCCTGTCTCTGCTCGACGACTCTCACCGTGTTAGGAAAGGTTTCGGTGCACCCGGACTCGAGGGCCACCAACTGAATCTCCTTGCCATCCAGCAACGCTCTCTCCACTTGGAAGAAACTGGAGAACTCCTCGTATTCCTCCTCTACAAGAGAATCCAACCGAATGAACGGAAAAGTAGCGAATGGAGATCCGTCGAAAGCCTGTCATTCCTACCAAGGCGATCGAGAAACATGACGGTGTCGTCCAGGGTGCAGTACATGGGATCTGGATACGGGTATTCGTTCTCCCAAGTGTTCATATTGTATTCGCTCGTCGTCGTTGTCACTACTCCGTCCCGATCCACCAGCATGTGGGAGTTGTAAAAAACCATATCCGACACGGCATTCACTGCGCTCATCTCGTAGATGAGGGCAATGTACTCTTCACCGGTCTCAGGATCTGTCAAATTGCGAGGCTTTCTGTCGTCACTCAACGCCGATTCAATGTCTAGCATTTTACCTTATTTCTTTCCTTGCACATTTCCTTCTGACCTGAATCGATGTAGTATTGGAGCTGGTACGTGCCAGCATGGAATACGGGGAAGTCAGCTGGCGCCCCCTGACACCTATCGCCGAACCCCAGGAAGGTGACGTGCCTCCCCTCCAACAGTGCTTGCTTCAGGTCATCGTACGTCTCAAGGTGGTGCCTGAGCGAAGGCATCGTTAAACATACAGACATCCTTTCGTTCAGAATGCAGAATGGACATGATGGAACTTCACTCCAGTGCGTTGCAATTTGCGAGGGGAGACGCCATAGGACTTTTATGATTAAGTAGGTGTACCATCTGTTTCATGTGCAGTGCAAATTCATCAACTGAATTGCCAATCTTTGTAGCCATGGATAATTATGGAGAGGAGGGTGATTATGGAAGGAATCTCATTTTCATTTCGAGACTATGATCACTTCCTTTACAATACAATATGATAAAGTGACTAATTCATTCCCTCGTCAGTGCTAACGCCAATAATTTTCTGTCTGGTTGATGGTAGACGTCACGTTCCGTTATTCTCTCTACTGCCTTCTCCTCTGTGACGAGTAACAGAGGACCATGACTGCATCGAATCATTCCATTCACTGCTTTTCCTTGGATAGTTGTGCAAAAAGTAAATCAGAAGATGAGAAAGTGTTTTAAGCACCTGATCAGAACAAAATCAAAGAAAAAAGAAAATCCCCCCCAAAAAAGTTAAGAATTGGTGCCACATAGCGGCACCTTGGAAAGTGATTCTTCACTTCCTACGTAAAAAAATCTCAAACCAACATGAAAAACGATAGGATTTATGGATAACCAGGCATAATCTACGGAATGAACCGCTTAGCGACTTTGATCGTACGTGGGCTGAGCGGCGGCCTTCTTGAGGAAGTAAGCGCCTTCCGTGTGCTGACAGGCCATGCCGCGTCTATCCACGACGGTGCCGTCCATCTGCGAGATCTCCACGACGACCATCGTGGCTTTCCCCGTCTCGTCCAACGTCCCCATCGCCAGCAGGAAATTGGCATTCGCTTCGAGTGCAAAAGAGAACATATTATACGATCCGAATCGTCAACAAAACGACGAGAAGTCGGGGAAAATACGAGCGATGAAAGCGTGATTGAAAGTGATGAAGTCCAGTTGACCGTCATCCAGTCGGCTCCAAACGTCCAAGGGGATCACGACGACCTGGAAAAACATCAGGAAACTTCCTCAACGGATTGCTTCCACCGACCATCCAACAGGAAAGAAAAGCATCGCAATCCTCTACAGGATCCGTCCCCTCCGGGTAGTCCGTCTCGCAGAGCCTTCCATTGAGGATGGCCACCGTGTGATGACCCTGGTCCAGGGCGTCCGCAACGGCCCAGTAGTCGTTCAAATAGTCTGCAGCACACAGGTAATTACCATTTATTGGGCATTTAATCGGCAAGATTTCCAAGTCTCATGCGGGGAAAGGATTACGTCAGGGATTAGGAATTTGGACATTTTTGACTGGTTGGTACGCTTCTTCGCGATCAAAATCTCATTTTAAAAAAGACATTGCGCATGTGGAACTGATTGTAAAAATTATCTGAAAATCAATTCATTCCACTGCTTCTCAATAACTCAATATTTGATTCCCCCAAAAGAAGATTGTTTATCCACCTTTCCCTTTGGGGAGTTCAAGTACCGAGAAGACAAGTTAATAGTTTGGACTCTTCAAATGTAAGTAATTTCCAGAAATTTTCGATCTAGCAAAGTCGCGTACAGCTACATGGTACGAAATGATCGTTTAAATAGGCGTACTTAAATTGGTCTATCCTGAAAATTAAATCGACCTGTCCAGAATACCTTGCGAGATGACGCAAGGAGAAAAAAGCAGAAGGAAGGCGAGAGAACTCGGCCACATTTTCGTCGTCTCGAACGCAGAGGCTCCGCGAACTGTAGAGGACTCGAGAGAACTTCTTCCGGATTTCCCACGGTTGCAACATCCGCCGCAGATAAGAAGGGGCACGTGCAGTTTGGCTATCGGTGTTCCACCTGCCGCATGGTATAATCATGTGCCACGTGATGTCGCTAACTCGACAATTTGCGGCGTCTGTGAGAGAAGATCGAAAGGACAGAGATGGCGGATGCCCTTCTCTTCAGTCTGCCGATGCACAAAGGGAGCCTGTAAAGAAACCGAAATGAAGAAAAATCGATTGACAAACGGAGAACCCAGTCGTAAAAATTCCAAATATTATTCCATAGCTTTATGCATGCACACGTTCCGTATCGATACCGACTTGGATTAGATTGACTCGAACCACCTCGTCGACCGTCGAAAATCACATTTCTCGTAGCGAATCGTCTTTCTATGGTGTTCTCATTTTGAATTCTATCTTTAATATCAATGTCAATCCCATCGTCTCAATTCAGCCTTTGCCTGGAGATGGCAGCACTGCGAGGATCGAACGCAGAATAAAAAATCATTTAAATGGACTTCATTCATTCATCCATCGCGATCCCAAAAGGTTTCGTCCATGAATGCCTTGCAGCCCTTTCCGTATTTTCAAAGTTCATAATAAAAAATTTTTAGCTACGAACCTTCTTTTTGGTCCACAGCCCGATTCTGCCTCGCTCACGAGCCGCATCTCTCCATCAGAAACTGACGTTACATCGAGGGAGAAGGGCACAGTTCTCTCATCATTTCCCTAGTCGTCGCCGGTGGAGTTTCAAGGGCTGGACAGGCTGTGGGGTTCTGAGTGACCGAAGTCACGTCAGTTTGAACGATGCAGGTAAGACTCGGCTGAGAAAGTGAGGGATAGAACACTGAAGAAAGAATAAAAATGGAAACAGGTTTTCACGATCGTACAACGAACAAAGTATGATAGAAAAGATTTCCGATTTTATCCAGTATAACTCTGCCCTTACATGAACTGTTCTTGAACGAAATAGACTCTCCCTTAACAACGCCTTTTCCTTCGTCCATGTCGACGACGAAAATCCGAAGAAACTCAGACCAGACTCTCCGCATCGAAATCTGATGACACCGATTATTTACTGGAAAAAGAGCGCATGAAAGCATCTGCACAGACAGGCAGCCCAAAGAAAGCATTTTAATGCCAGAGATCATAAGATGAGTCTGGAATGACAATTCGGCCACCATCATGAGTTCCCGTCTTTTTTCTAATAAATATCCAATCATACCAAAAGAATAATTATGTGGTGGTATGACGGAAGGAGATAAGTCCACTTTTGGCGAAATTGAGTTGAGATCATCGACAAAGAGTGCGTCGTGATCCGTCTTTTGGTCAAACGGGACAAGTCGAACTCCTGTTCCTTCAGGAGAAAACTGCATTTGAAAGAAGGGGATATGTAGCATGTAGCTGTATGAATAGGAATTTAAAAATCTTCCTCCTGAGAAATTGCAAAAATGGACTTATCGCCTTCTGTCATACCAACACAGAATTTGTCACATTCTCTCAGGATTTATGGAATTTCACATTCTGTGTAAGGATCCGTATAACTTTCAGAACGAGAACGCATGGAGAAAGACGTTTGGAGAAAGCCCTGATGGTCGGATGAAGTTCCTAATCTTTATCACATTTCTCTCCAAGTGCGTGACGTTCGGGATTTTTCTCATTGCAATTTATGGTGGACTCTGAATATTGAACAAAAATCTAGAAATGAAATCGACTAATTCATGCAACTTTTATCGAATTTTACTCTCCACCACTTTCAAACAACTTCCTCAATCTTGGAAAGGGGCAAAGACGACGACGTCACTGCCGAGTTGGCATTCCAGATAGAATCCATCGCCCAATTTATTGAAGAATTCTCCGTCCTCCAACGTCCACAGCCCACAGGATCCCCCTGACCTTGTTTGACAGCTCGAAGGCCATCGTGATGGAATTTTGGGCTCGACCTTCTCCGTCGCTCCAGTCGGTCACGAGGGTGTACGCCGCAGAGTAGATAGTCGCCATCGGGACTCGCCAGCATGGACTTTCCATGCATACTGATCAATTCAAATCGGCTCAGGTGTGAAGAGTAGATGTAAATTGTTCACATTTGAATGATATCTTTAAAATAAAATTAATATATATGTATAGACTTCTCGTTTCAAAATACACTTTCAGAACATGTCACATCCGACACCGTCACAACATAGGCTCATATTCTGTTTCAAGTGTTGACATCTTGGAGTGACTTACACTAATTTCAAGCGTTCATTCAATCTATGGAATGAACATGAAACTAAATTATTAGGATCCGCTCGACGACAGATATGTGAACATTAGTGCAAGTGACTTTAGAGGTTCACGAAATGTCACGTCTGACATTTCTCTTCGTACACAGGTACACCTCTAACGTAAGTGAGAGTGCAAGACTTTGGATTATAGAATTTTCAGTCACCACCCAAAGCAAATTGTTACAGCCTTTATATGCTTATTCGTCATCCATAATATAGTTAAATACATTTTGTATACTAACAATATTACTCCAGATGTCACATCCGACACCGTGGACAGACCCTCATCCAAGAAGGGGAAAAGCTATTGGAAGGAAGATGAGGCTGAAAATTTTTCTCGAGAGCCTTTGAAGAGATTATGAATGGTTCCACATGAAGAAAAAATATATCCTTAATGGAATCTTCGATGAAGTAAATATGCTATTTGTAAAGGAGTTGCAACTTACGTCCCGAGCGGCATACTAACATGTGAGAAATTTAACCTTTCCACCATTGATCATCCATAGACTTCGAAATCCTGTCAGTGTATTTTCGCAGTGCCTTTGCATTCAAGACATTTCTGGCTTCAACTGAAATCCCTCCACAAAAACCAGAAACTATAAAATGAGAGAACATACTGACAGGATCGGAGAGGAACATCTCCTGCAGGTAGAACCAGGCCGCAACCCCTCAGAAGTCCAATCCGGATCCAGACGGGTTCTCGCAGTCTCGGAAGCTCACACGCGCCTCCAGGTGCCACCAGTTCAGCATCGTAGACGGCGAAATAGGATGTCGCCGGGAACCTGTTCCAATCACATTAGGCATGTCGTCTCGTCATCACATCCTTTATTCGGAACGGTTATGCCTTTAATTGGTGCAATTGCTCGACTAGCAAATTTTGAAATGAATTTCCGCGCTATTATGGGCTTCAATCCAATTTTCATTACACTTGAATATAGAAAACAAATATTTTGGTACACTGTACAAGACATCTGTCTAAACGTTTGTCAAAGAAACACCAGCCTGTAAGATGTGTATGTTCAAACAGACATGCTCCTTCTCCTTCAAGCAGCACGAATTTAAAACATGTCTTTCCCCTCACCTCATTCCCGCTTATCCCCCCACCCCCCCAACCAATACCAATACGCGTTCTATCAGACCTAGCCTTAAAGGGCGCCGAAACGACGAGACCCTCTCTCATGCAGCAGGCGTAGGGGGGGGGGGGGGGACGTCGGGCCCGTCCCGGGGGTTCCACATGGTCACTTGAATGTCCAGCACTTCCTTCCTCATCGCGCAATGTGTATTCTTGCAAGCTTGCGACGCCCTTGTCTGTGAACGCTGTGAACCCTCAGCGAAGCTGGGGTTCGTCGGACGTCTCGGGAAAAAAAAATGTCCTTCATAGTTTCTCTAAAGCTTGGGACCACAAAAAGAAGACGCAAAACAAGTTACCGACATTTTCGTCGTTTTGTTAAGGCAAAATTATATATTTCATGATTTGTTCGTCAATAAAAAAAAAATATATGGTGATTGTATTTGTATCGATCCAAGAGAGTTTAATTCATTTTTTATCGTATCTTTACTCTTTGAATATTTTATGCTTAAAATTTTCGCTAATATAATTCTATTAGCGTCACGAAAGATTAAACGGTTTTGAAGATTTGTGAGTCAAAACTTCGCGAGAGGAACGATTGCATATTCGGGGACCTTTTGACAGTGGCATCAAATTACATTCCTTATCACCCTGAAAAATTAATTTTAAAAAAAGCACAGTTGTATTATGATACTAAAATGGCTTTTACTTCTTCTGTAAAGTCGACTCCAATTATTAGAATTCCGCTGAACGAAATACCATTGAGCAGTCCCAAGATGTTTAAAGCTATATGATGCATTAATAAATAAATAAATAAATAAGACCTAAGGAAATACGGCTACATGAATAACCCGCTTCAAAAAAAAATTTTTGCTCAAGGCCGGAATAATTTTTTTTTTTCTTAATTAGCCTTGAAAAACGTCTCTATCCTTTTTTTCTATTTCCTGAGCCGTGGAAATGCGCTCACCTGCTCCTCCCGCCAGCCGCACCCTTGTTTCGTGACACCAGGGTCACGAGCAGCTGTTGTTTCTCGGAGACGTGGGTGGGGTTGGGAGGGAGAGGGGGGTCTGGAGTGACCTGGTTGCGAAATTTGAGACCACGCTTTTTTTCGTGTGCTAAGCGAGATTCAAAACGAGACGGAGAAAGAAAAAAAAACTCATAAGAATGTTAAAAAATTGCACTTTAAAATAATTTTTATTAGGGCAAGCGCACTAATATGGAGAGAGGAAAGGGGAGAAATGAAAAAGACCGTCCTCAATCAAGAAAAAAATGTGAGGAAAGCAAACGAAGCACCACCGCTCAAAAACTTCAATGCGTGGGACTCGACTGTGCAATGGGTTGAGTAGCACAAGGCACTATGATTGTGAAGAGATAGCCTACGCCACACGTCGATGTAATCCGGCTGCAGATGTCCCTCAATAGACAGCCTAGTTATATAATGTAGATCAACTTGCTGAAAAACGTGTTGCTCTCTGAAACCACGAGATATTATTTGGAATGTTTCTAAGCCTCTGTACTTAACTAAGGTCTGGCAAACCTGGAGGCCATCGTTGAGAATGAAAAACCAACGAGAAGGCCAATGAACAGGCCTATTCAAGGCTCTACTCAAGATTCCAGTCAGCCGAGATCCTTAAAGCTAAGCTAATGGATACAGTTGAAGTAACACGGTGTAACTGTTAGGACTGTTGCTACAGTGTTAACATAATCTTCCATCTCGGTGTGTAAAGGCAAGAAAATTGAAGGAATTAACTGCCGCTGTAGGGCCGTAGCAACGTGTCCAAGACCATCGACATAACCCCCATGTGCTTAGGCAGACGTCCACCAGATGTCAACCTCATCGACATCACTTGGCAATACCTCCGATCGAACGGCATGGAGCGACTTGGAGCGGTGCCTCGTATCCCTCTCCGTCTTCGCCTCAATCTCATTCCTTTGGCATTCATGGATATTCAATTTCGACAGAGTCTCAAGACGGGAATGGAGTTGTATGACCTCCCAGGCCTTGAGTCTCTCTTCTTCAAGCGCGTCAAATGTGTGGACGAGGCCTCTGCTCCCACGCTGGATAGACACATTGTGCGGGTCGAGAAAAGGCCTCGCACGAGCGGCATAGCCAGTCCCTCTCTTTCCCGGCTCGTTTTCGATTCATCGTCTCGGCAGACTGTGGCTGTAAATCTCAGCCAAATCCGCCAATCCGAGACCAATTTGTTCCAGCAATGATACAATATGAAAATTCTCAGAACTAGACCAAGTGATAACTGTCGAAATGTGCGTTCAAAATGCAGCAACATTTTTACCCCTAGCTTTTATCACGTTCAATCCAAAGGTGTGATTGTCCACTAGAATATGCTAGGGGAAAGGCTTCACATTTGAAGTATTGGGATAATATTCATTTTCGAGAAATCTCTCCAAGTTCGCTGCTTGTTATCTAGCTGGTGCATTTATTGATTCACTGAGTGCCCGTCCGACGACGACCGTATACTGCATATCATGGGCAAGCCGTCAATCATTAGTTTTCGAATGTTAGACTATATTTACCACACCCACGGATTGTAACGACGAGAAAAAGCAGGGCACTATACCGGCCAGAGCAGAGTAACTTTTCTTAGAGATATGAAATACCAAAATGGTCATTAACACGTTGACGACCAGCCTATTTTTGCTTGTCCGCCGCGTGGGATCGTTCTCAACAGTTCCAGAGGGTATTCATTGAAAAAAATTTGCATCCTGGCATCAGGACGCATTGTCGCCAACGTGTTAAATGGTATCACTCCACTTTACCGATGCTACATAGCGTTTTTCAGGAAAAAAAAAAGAAAGATCGAGGGAAAAAAGGTAACTGTCTTGACGAAAGGCAGAATACCTTGTGAGATGACACAAGGTGAGAAGAGGAGGAGGAAGGCCAGAGAACTCACCCACATTTTCATGATTTGAAATGCAAAGGCTCCACACAAAGTGTAGAACACTCATGTGGACTTTCTGGATATGCCATGGTTGCTTCATTCACCACAGATAAGCAATGAACAAATACCATTTGGCTATCAGCATCAGGTGGAACACCTGATGCTGAAAAGAATGATGTGTCAAGTAAAGTCTAAAGAAGAGACATTTATTTTAATGCTTTGGCACAATCATTGCACTAGAGTAGATCCATATTTGGCATAATAGAGAATCACAGACCAGGAATGACTAGACACAAAGAAAGAACACATAGCATAGACATGAGATGAATCATCCTCCAGCAACAACAACTTCAGCCGCCTTTGGCTTGTGGACGATGTAAGGAGAAGCTGAGCCGATTACCACTATTTCCTTCATCTTCATGTGGAATCTGGAAGAAGATGGGAGAGGAGATCTTTCAAATGTGGATGGAAGCATTTGAACATCTTAAGACTCTTTCCTAACCTGAGGGTTCCTTTGTGGAAACGAAGTGATGCACGAGGCAATCCAAAGCACGAAGCAACACTCTCCATTCCCCGCATGTCCATGCCTGACTCTTGCTTCACAAAAATTGAGTGCTGCTCCCTATGAAAAAATTGAATCAGTCTTATATTACAAAACTGTACCAAGGACCTACCCCGCACCAATGATAAACAATAAAAGGAGAGACAGAAGATCGAATGAACTTACGCATTTTGAGTTTCAAGGAGGGATTCAATGTAATCAGTGCCAGCTCTTGCACACATGTCCATGTTTAAATTCAAGGGTTCAGCCCTCTGGATGAGGGCCTTCATCTGCATCTCATATGGAATTCTCATCAAAGATTCTGGTTTCATCACCAAGCGAACATTGGGATCCCTAGTGTGAAAGAAGGCATATCTCATGAAGATTGGTATCCTTGAACTTGCTAAATGCAACTGAAAAATCACCACGGTTTCCAAAAAATATGCAAGATTCAATATTCCAGGATTCCTAAGCAATTTTTGGAACTATTTCTATGACCAAATAAAACATTCATTTTCATTTGTGATCATTTTCTTTTTGCATGAAGTGGGGATTTCAGACAGGGAAAAAAGGTAATATATTGAAAACTATGATGACAATGTCTTCAGTTTCCATGATTTGTGCCTCATTGCAATTTTTCAGACTTTTCCTAGTTTTACAGATCTTTGGGGACTCTGAATACAGTTCAGAAATAAAAGAATATCATACTTGTTAGTGTCTCGGTCCTTTGACAGCAAACCCCGAGATGTAGGGGTTTCAGTGACAACAGATGGCTGCAGCAAAACACGACTCAGATCAGGAACTAGGATTTCTCGATCAAAGAGTTCCTCCCACACCCAACCTTCCCAAGACCTTTGAAAACAATAGATAAAATTGATTGAAATCAGGGTTAAGGGGGGAAAAAATAATAAAATGTGAGAATTTCAATGCATAACATCATAAACAGAGAAATGCATAATCAGAAATCACAAACTGTCGTACACATTTGCACAGCAGTCCCTCATGTGACCACGCAACTCATTCTGGAAGATGCTTAACCTCATGAGGAATGCGAAACCAGGGAACCCCTCCACCCGATAGACCAACTTCCCTGAGCCACTGTTCTGTGCATACCCTAGAAAAGCAAACAAATTTGGAGATGACAGGGTTGAAAACTCATGTTCCAGTAATTCTCTTTTTCAGCAAAGGTAAATTCCAGTAGCCTAGAGGCCTTACTAGAGAAATGAAAAACTGATAATAAAAAAAAAGGCAGAACCATTTCTTGAAGATTTGGAGCAATTCTTTACATGGAAAAATGGGAATCTCCTTTGACAAGGATGTAATGAGAAGTTCATACCCATGGGATTCCATGCTGAGATACCAAGCAGAGTGTCATCCTTAGCAAGAGTAGGGAAGACCTGGGCAAAAAAAGCCAGGAGGTCAAGAGATAAGATAGCTCCTTCCTCCAGGACAATGATGAATTCCTGACCAGGAAACATAGCTACTGCTGTCTCAAACCCGACCTGGTATTTTTCTATGAAGACAAAAATTTTAGATCATTTCAAAAACTTCTAAGCATCATTCTAAAGATGCAAGGCAAGTATCAACCAAAAGAATTTGAAGGTGAATAGTTCAGGCCCTGAAAGCAGAAGATATCAAGAAGTTCATCCTGGATTTCTCTCCAAGGGGTAAGGACGAGAACTTGATGTGGGAGAATCCCTGGCTGGTAGAAAAGAGTAAGGAGAGTTGACGATAAGGATACTGGATGACCACCACCAAGGACCAAGATAGGGAACTTATAGACTGGTGAGTTCGAAACATTTTTATCCATCTCCACAGTTGGTATGGTAGGCATTTCTCTATGAACAGCTGCAAAAACAAAAAAAAATTGCAGCAGATATAGAAAAGCCTTCAATGTACTTAAAAAAAAAAATCAACTTGACTTAGTTCAAGTCATTGTTTCATGCAAGCAGGGTCATATCACACAGACTACAACAAAAACCCATGTCCAAGGACCTTTCAGAACCCAATGAGACAGGACTATCAACATGTATGAGCAATGACAAATTAAATGTAAAAAAAAATTTTTAAATGCATGCAGGGGGTTTTGCTTTACCATGGTATCACCAGGTTTAGTAATGTTAACATTTTACTGTCAGTGCTTATGACTCACGTTGGCAGAATTCAGTGTAGTCGGAGTGTTTTTCACAAAAATGGTCCCATTTCATGTTCACATTCACAATAGGATCAGGGTTAATATTCCTTGTTGGTACTGGGGAAACATGAAGAAAAAAAAGGCTCTCTTTAGGGACTCTTAGCTGGATGTGAAAATTATGTAGGCAGTCAACTCACTTGATTTTGACAGGCAGAAAAAGACATCAATGCTGGTAGGGTCTCCATTACCAATACTCAATGTTATATCTTCATAAATGCTGAATCCTGTGATGTTTTTTCGAGTCACAAGGTACCAATTAGAACGATAATGCAAGTTCTGGAAATGAGCACTACCTAGAAGGAACAAGACTGAGAAATATTAAATATGGGTCCAACATATCAATATTATTGACTATAAAAAGGGTCTTTGGTAACAGACCAAAGCTTGAAGTGATGTGAATGCGAAGAGCATCAGAGAGTCTGGTTGATGCTTCATCATGAGTGAAAAACACCACAATTTTATCATCTGTTACATCTTGTTTCAGATACTTCTCCAAAGCAGAAGTCTCTGATTGAAATAGGTATGTGTCAAAATTTCTGAGTTCCAAAACCTGCATTGCAGAAAGATAGTGGTACCAGAATGTGACATCTATGAATGCTTTTCAATCAGGAAACACCAGAAACATGGCCTAAACCTGACCTGGAAGGAATGATGATTAATCAAAGCAACATTGATTCCTCGAGAATAGTTCACAGTGTTTTCCATGCTGAACCTGAAAGAATCAGAACCATACAGTTTAAATACTTCACACTGCTTGAAAATTGTAAATTGCTTTATACCAGACAGCAAATGAAGTATCAATTCAGATACCAGTGACTTACAGAGAGAATAAAAACAAATGTAACAAACCCAATCCCATTGAGGCAGAAATATGGCCCAGGAATCATGTCCTTTCTCTTTGTTTGAATATGAATCGGAGCAGTGTTGAGAGGACAAGTCTCTGGGAGACCACAATTTGGGTGTGCTGCAGTATTGTAATCAACAGGACGACCATAGCCAGACCCTATAAAAGCCAAATCATAAAAAATACATGGAGCCTAAATGCTGAAATTAAAGCCATTTCTGACTATATAAATCACCTGTGTTTGAAATAGCATCCCTGTTTGGACCTTCTTGTGTTGCACTGGATCCACTGGATTTTAATAACTCATGGAGTTTATAGAAGAAAGAGTTTTGATGAAAATACACGATAGTAGCACCAGAAAGAAACAAACAAATCATCAACACTTTACAGTTAGCACAGGATGAGATCATAAGCAGGGAACTACGCCTCATCTTCACCATGGCAACTTTTATTAAGACTTTGCAGATCCTCTAAATCTTTGGCATGAAAGCTAGTTTTTTGATGGGTACCAACTCATGGAAGATTCCTTTTTCAAGCTATGAAAGGGCAGTTTGCATTTCTTCCAAGAGGAATGTTTCACACTGTACATTCAGCATCACCAACTTGACAGGCTGAAGCCCGATTCTGGGCTCCATTTTCAAACGTCCAAACTGTGAGAATAAATCCAAAGTATAGTAATACTCGCTCTTCACTGCTATTAATAAATACATTGCTATAAGCCAATGCCAAAGGGCTAACTTTGCCTATAATGGGCCTTGAATGTAAAATTTGAAAAAAAATTATTGCTATAAGCTATTCTTAAAAAGAGTATTCCTTATGAGAATGACTTATAGCATGAATTCTAGGATAAGTAGGAATAACTTTTTCTTTATATAGACCAAGGCTGATGCATGGATTAGCCTTCTTTAAACCATAAATAAAACTTCTGTTCAATACATGACCCACAATGTAAAAAATTTAATCCAGAAAAAATACAGTGCTGAGCATATCACTGAGCTGGATGTAACAAAATTGAATCACAATTACTATGTATTATTTGCAATTTAAATTATTTTAAATTACCATAATGGACTTACTATAAGGTGTCAGGAAAGGAAATTCCATCTGGATATGAGCATCTTGGTTACAGCCAAGTTTTTGCATGGTTGAACTTCTTACTTTGACATTTCCTTTGCTGGCCTTTTATAAGATGTTTAGAAGGATTTTGTATTTAATAATGCATTTTTTTTAGACTGGCAAGTTGTTTCACAAGAGATCATCATATGACAATGCCAAGAGCAAGTGGATGGTGGTTAAAGAAGCAGAGATGAACTGAATCACCCATATTCACACATAATATACACGAGTCATCTAAACTGACACTGAGCTTAGAGCTCAATCTTATAGTTCATTTCCACGTTTACAAATTTATGGAAAATTAAATCAAAGAGAGAAATTTGATGATTTACTCATTGTCTATAAAGCAAATAAATCATGGTTCAAGATTGAAAATGCTCCACCATTTTGCAATTGAAATGTGGCTTTCTAATGAAGTGGTTACACTTTTATTTAGAGAACAAGGAACCTCCCAATATCCAGTTCTTGTCTGGAGGATACCATACATGAATCCATAACTAGAATGGAATCAGGATAAATCCATCCCATCGTCTACATGTAACAATTCTGAAACCATTCTAGGACCAGCCCCAAAGACCATTTGATGACCACTATAAAACCAACTGTAATGATCGGGTTTCAACCTTTGGCTATCCAATAATTCCATTTAAAAACCATCATGAAGCCAACTGGAACCACCAGAGGACCATGCCTTCACTAACTAAACCTTTTGGAAACCACGATAATACCAACTGGAACCAGCCTATAAGCCATAGTTGGAACGACTGAGATTTCCAGTTGCAATTTCGGTATGGGATTTGTTATTACGGGATCTCACAAAGAATTCCCACTATCATACGCGTAAATTCACAGGATGGTGTGAAGTTCACGAAACCGCAGGGTGGTTCAACCTCATTTCTCCTCCCATCAGGACAGGCCTAACTTAACGCCTTGAGTAGGTTCCCGATTGTCGGCAAAGCTGGCGGTCTGATGTGCGCGGCACGCACGTGGCACGTGCAATGCGACCACCTGCTTGCTGGGGGCGAACTGGAGAGAAGGGACGAGCAGATATGTATGTGAGGGCGGAGACATAGCATCCTGGCCAATCCCGTCACTTTACGTTCCGTAAGCCTTCATGGCGTTCCGCATGCTTTACATATGCCACATGTGTTTCTTTCATACATCACATTTGCCTAGCATTCTCGTCAGATGTAGGCTCTACATAGGCTTAAGTCAAACTGGCATATGCTGGACTGTCAGCCAAGGTCCTCAGGTCAAGGCGGTACCTTCGAAACGGTAGGCCTTGGCTACAGTGCTTTTATTTTGTAACTTAGTGTTTAACCTAAGAGCACCAATTCGCAACTCGTCAGCCGCAGCGCTCGTTCTGGTGGATCGCGAGAGGGTCAACAAATTGGGAAGGAAAATAGGAAATACGTTTTGAAAGATAAATAATGAGGTAAATAAAAATTGCAAAACCCCAGGACATGTGTATGCTATTGTGCTTATTTTTCCTGGTTAGGCTACCCTCCTGGTTTGTATCACCTTTAAAATTGTGCTATACTATTTTAATTGTGCCAAAAAAGATTTAAGGGTATATCTCTCATGGCAGAACTGACATTAGGCCTACAGAGCCTGTGTTAAAATTAGTATGAATTCATTTGCAAATTATAGTGCATGTTGGTTTACCTCTACACTAAAACTCCTTGAATCCATTACATATTGTGTGCCTCCCATTTGCAATAGGGGGAAGGGGCCAATTCTAAGTGTATCACAGACCAAAGCCTTGGTTTATGAATATAATAACTGCTTATAATATGTCAGTTACTTTAAGAATCTTAGGTAAGGGAATATTTGCTTCATTTTTGAGTTTTCAATAGGTAAGATGCAAGCTGAGTGCGTGTGAGTGACCTGACCATGCCGTATCCAACCAGAAGGGATGCAGTCTGTTTTTTTGTGCTTGTACTAAGCGTGCCCTTCCAGTATTTTTTGGGAAATTACACGGGTTCAACAGAACAGACACGTACATTTGCTGTGAATGAGCTCTTAACAGAGTTCAGGGACCTTGGTGATAAGTGGCTTTCATTCACACATTGGAGCACATGGTGCATGGATTTGGTATCCCAGTGGTTCCTTATAAAGCCAAATGATTCAGGTCAGTCCTTTCTTTTCACTTCTGCTATATAAAAGAGATGATTTGAGGCTTAATCCTAAGTGCATGAAACTTTAGCAAAGCCTCAGGACATGATGTATATCAGTCATTCCCTATAAACTCACTCAATAGATAATATAGCACCCTTTTAGATTAAAAAAATTTGACATATAGGATTTTCATGGGCCAATAATAACACTCTTCTTCAAAATATAGCCCCTTGAGACCAATATGTGTGCATGTCAGACAACTCTCACATTGTGCAACAAGCTCATCAGCAGACCCTTGTTCATCCCTTCACTCCATATCTAGGAAAGATGAGGTTGCGATTATTGGAAGAATCTAGGTGCCCCACCTATGTTAGAGAAGTGCTAATGCTATTGGTTATCAGAACATAATGGGGAAGGAGTGAGGATGATAGAAAAGGGTATGATTGGGAATAGGAAAGCATGCTGGCTGCCCCTTATGAAATTACTGGGTCTGGGAGACTCCGATATGTTAGAGACTGGGAGGCAGGTACTGCCATGGGAAACTCTCCGAAAGACATTTCCAATGTGTGACATTCTCATCCTTATTTTCTGTCTTCTTTTTTTGTTTCTCCATTCTGATGGACTTGGTTTTCTTCACTGGATATCAGTGACCAAATCGCCTTATGAACTAATCTGTCAAGATTTACAAAACTCTCACTGGAGGGAAGTCTATGGGGAAAGGAAGTCACACTTTTCTTATCTTTTCCTATTTTTCTTTCTTGCCAAATGAGATTGTTCATTCTGATTCTCTCTCTGCCTTCCCCATCTCTGTAATTTTTTACATTCCTAATACAGTTTGTCCCAGGATATCTGGATAATCACTATATTTAACATAGAAGTCCTATTTTGGTGCTCTATTTCTAAAAAATGTTATAAGGTTTCAAGAATGCAGCAAAATGAGAATTTTCTACTATATGGAAATTTTGATGGTTTATTATAACCTGTTAATTTCAAGTTGGTCACGTTACACTTTATTATGAAGTTGCAAGTAACATATTAATGGTGGATTGAACCCCTAAAAATATTTAAAATTTTTAAGATGTAATATTCTAGCTCTTTTATTAATAACACTCTTCTTCAAAATATAGCCCCTTGAGACCAATATGTGTGCATGTCAGACAACTCTCACATTGTGCAACAAGCTCATCAGCAGACCCTTGTTCATCCCTTCACTCCATATCTAGGAAAGTTGAGGTTGCGATTATTGGAAGAATCTAGGTGCCCCACCTATGTTAGAGAAGTGCTAATGCTATTGGTTATCAGAACATCAAAACAGGGGAAGGAGTGGGGATGATAGAAAAGGGTATGATTGGGAATAGGAAAGCATGCTGGCTGCCCCTTATGAAATTACTGGTCTGGGAGACTCCAATATGTTAGAGACTGGGAGGCAGGTACTGCCATGGGAAACTCTCTGAAAGACATTTCCAGTGTGTGACATTCTCATCCTTATTTTCTGTCTTCTTTTTTTGTTTCTCCATTCTGATGGACTTGGTTTTCTTCACTGGAGGGAAGTCTATGGGGAAAGGAAGTCACACTTTTCTTATCTTTTCCTATTTTTCTTTCTTGCCAAATGAGATTGTTCATTCAGATTCTCTCGCTGCCTTCCCCATCTCTGTAATTTTTTACATTCCTAATACAGTTTGTCCCAGGATATTTGGATAATCACTATATTTAACATAGAAGTCCTATTTTGGTGCTCTATTTCTAAAAAATGTTATAAGGTTTCAAGAATGCAGCAAAATGAGAATTTTCTACTATATGGAAATTTTGATGGTTTTATAACCTGTTAATTTCAAGTTGGTCACGTTACACTTTATTATGAAGTTGCAAGTAACATATTAATGGTGGATTGAACCCCTAAAAATATTTAAAATTTTTAAGATGTAATATTCTAGCTCTTTTAGATACATACTTGAAGTAACTAGGGACCTGGGGTATTCAACTTCAATAGATCCATAGATTCTTGTCAGGATGTCATTCTTTGAGACAGGAAATAACTCTTGTGGGAAAGCTGCCCTCCATTCTCTCAGCTTCCTTTCCACTTGCAAGAAGTCATTTGTAAGTGGAAAGGAAACTTGCTCTACTACTTTTTGACTGTTAAATATAAGACGCTTGCTTGTATTACATTTAGTTTTCATTTCAGGCTTCTACTGTATATTTGAAATGAAAGCAAGATGAAATATTGCAGTTTTGCTTATGCTGACCTGTATCACTAGCCAATTCCTCATGGGAAGTGATATTTAAAGCTTGCAACAGCAGATCAGAAGAAATTCTAGAAATGGAGCCAGGGTTCCTCCCAAAGACATTCAGACAATTTATCTGCATTACATGCTTCTGCTGATTGTGATTAGGGATGGTCAACTGACAGGGTCAATTGACCAGTCAATTGACATGTTTTTAGTTGACTGGTCAATAACCCATTCCTAATTGTGATGTTCTTTAAGTGAATAGAGAAGTGTGCTAATCCACTCAGAAAATATCTGAAAGCTCAGACAGTGCCTGTGTGTCTTACCTTCTGAATTATATTGGGGAAAAAAATTACTCTTTGTGTTCCAGAATCACTTGCTGATGATGGAGAATCTCCTGCTGTAGAAGTGATGCAGTACAAGCAGAAAGAAGGGCATTTTGGAACTTCCCCAGATGTGAGATTCCCAAGACCTCTTGAAGTAAAATACAGAATTGGACAAGTGTTCCAACACCGTACTGAGGGATACCGTGGGGTCATCATTGGCTGGGATAGGACAGCCAGGGCCCCTGAAGACTGGCTTCAACATATGCACAGAGGGCACCCTGTATGTTGATATATAAGAAGTTTTCAGAAACTGATGAACTGGCCATCTTGCTAGTTGTCTCAGCTGCATAATTCAGCTGATTATGGTTTGATGTAAATCATAGACCTTTACGTTACTTCTCATCTTTGAAAAAGGAAATGTAATGTGAACCTTGACCCTGCAATTTAAAATCCTTCAATGGCAGATCTATATGTGTAATTATGTCAGTATCAACTAGTTTTCAAGCATTGCATTTTTTTAGGATTGGAAATCAAAACCAAATTATGCTGCATTGGTGGATACAAGAGACCGAACAATTCCACAGATGACATACGTAGTGGAGGATAATATCGTCATAGTCAGGAACACAAAGGTAAATCCTACACTACCTATCAGTCATAACTATGATAAAACTCTCATGGTGGATAATTACTCTGTTACAATATTGTGATGACACCTTTGTGCCTACTGGTTTTGTGCTTTCCCAGGTGATGCATCCAGCAGTGGATGATTATTTTGAGTCATGGGATGGAGCACAGTACATTCCTCGACCTTGGCTTCGACATATGTACCCCCAAGATTAGATTTCTTAGTGTCAAAATTGAACCCCACCACACTGTGCCTTGCAAGTTGTAGTTCATCCAAGATTTAAATTGAGACATGGCACTAATGTGTATATGGTTGAGGATGTGGCACTGATATACACTACCACCATATCTCCTTTCAATTTTTGGATGAACTATATGGGGAATTCAAGATGCAAGACTAAACTTTAGATTTCTGGTTGATCCTGTTTTCTTCTGTGATATGCAAGTTTCTGTGATGCCCTGAAGATATGGTTGAGAATAAAAACAAATTGTCAAACCAAGACTTACAGGCCTTAATGACATTAGTTACTTCAGCTGATGAATTTTTAAATGAATACTTTACAAAATGTGATACAATATATTTGTTATATACCTATTCTCCTTAAATGGAGCCAACAATGCAGATCTACAGCACTGTATGAAGAATAAATTCCAGGTCGGGGCAATTTTCGTTATTTTCTCTCCAAAAAAAAAATTCATATTGGTTGCATTTTACTAAGGAGTACGGACGAATATTTTGCGGTAAAGCCAACATAGGCACCATTGGAAAAATATTTTTACCAGGTCAAACAACAACCGACAGCAGTCGAAAAACGGCGAAACCCTGAACGAACGATACAAAATGGCCTCGCTCTAGCCTCCAAACAGAAAAAAAAAAACATCCAGCGAGCAACGGGCGCAGACGGAGTCAGCTGGGCTGACGACGACGGCGTCTGTGAGTGAAAGTGGGCGGCGATTTCCAACAGTTTTTGTCATTTGTTCGATGCGGACAAGAACTCACATGCGAGTAACAGCTTTTGTCCTCTTTCGATCAGTATACAACAGTTTTTTTTTTATTACCGAGTGAAATGCTGCCGAGGGTCACAGAAACCAATTATACGGCACATTTGCCAGATGATACGACCACAGCTTATTTATAGGGCCGTGCCGATGGCCACCTTCGGCCGATTATGATCTCATACCTATCGGCCGGTGCCGATGCCTATTGTGACGTGCAGATAATTACGTCATGCATCAATGTATCAATATATCAATGTACCATTATATCACATATTTATTCAAGTAGATCTAATAGGAAGCCATGTTCAATTTTTTGTGAGGGTTGTCACGCTGGGTGTTTTTGAAAACATCCATGTATCGATAATGCATCGATGCACCCGGTGGATAGGGTGGGGAGGGGAGTGGCAGGGCGCCAGCGGATTCAGTCTTTCCTCGCTGCGATCGGGCGGTTTCACTTCCGTCGTTTCTCGCCTCAATCTGGGCGTGGATCTCTATTGTATTCCATAATTGCCTTGCCTGTGGTCGGGGAGGGGGGGGAGTGTGACCTTCGCGACGAGTGATGAAGCCTACCATGCCTCCAACGATCAAAAATGACTTCTATACATCGATGGACAAATCGGGACAGTCCTAATTTTTCCTATTACCGGCGAGAATCAGTTGCCAAGCCCCGTTCATGGATTTTTTTTTCCCTTTTTATTCGTTCTGCACGTTCTTATTTGGACATCGGCACCGACAGCGTGCAAACCGACCGATGGTGCCATACCGGCGGTTTACGATACATCGGTACAACCCAAGTTATTTCTTTCATCAGGCAAAGGGCAGGACCGGCCGGACAAGTCGAACTCGGGGCAAACGAGGGAGGATCACTTTGTCCAGGGAAAATGCAAGAGATGCCCAAGACCATGCGAAGAATCACGTTCAAGGTAGATAGAATACGTGTCAGCTAAGCATGTAAAGCCTCCTCTCACATTATTCAAACCTGCGGATTTTTTTCATTTTACTAATCATTAAATACTCAGAGTACATCACACATTAAATTTATGCCGGCCCGAAACCCACCAGTTTCAAGTCAATTGTCACAGCATAGGTGTATATACGTAACACGTGTATTGCAGATGGCCGACTTACGTGGCCAAACCACTGGGAAAAAGTGGACCCACTCATTTTCCTCTGTGTCTCCGACAAAACAACAGCAATAAATTCAGAATTAATGCAGCAGAAATTTATAGGAGGGTGAGAGAGTGGTTAAACTGCTGGATTTCACACGAAGACGAGCTCACGCACATGGCTCCCCGATCCTTCCACGGTGACGTCATGAGCGGCAGCCAATGAAAAGCAAGCAGCTGAGCTGGGACTGCCTCACATTCTATCTACCTTGGGCCAAGTCAGCAATATGTTCCCGATTTGGCTGATGAGGAGTCATTGTGGGATGAGACGATGAATGCACCCGAGGACTGGCTTCGCAAAATGTATGGATCCAGCAAGGTGTTTTTGTTAAATTAAATGTAAAAAAAAAGCACGGCTCGCCGCATGAAGGCGAAGCGAATTTGCATCCGTAAGTCATAAATCATAATATTTCATTTAAGGAATGGCGTAAAGAACCCAGTTATGCCTCGCGGATACGCGAGACAGGATTTATCATCATCTACGTTCCACAACACATCAAGCGCATCACCGGCACCGAGGTACGGACTAATCTCGCCCGCAGGGGAAATAATTACTTTGCTTGAGAAAAAGCAGTGGCAAATAGGTTTGTAAATGGCTGACAATTTTCCCGACATCCAAGCCGGTCATAAATCCTGACAATCCAGTCCAGGGTTCCCCGTGAAGCGAGCCGTGGGCCAAAGCGCTTCTCCCTCCAGGGATCATGCCTCCTCCTATTACGTAACACACCCCAATGACAAGGCATCTCTCCCCCAAGGTCAGCACCAATGGGTGCATTTCCCCCTGTCAAGCCCTCCCTCATTCTTGCACGTTCATGTCACGGGATGGAGGGAGAAGGCGAGGAAATTAGGGGAAAGGAACCATTCAAACAGGAAATGAGTTTCTGTCGCTCAGCTCCCCCCCCCCCATACTCCCCTGGGGCGTTCTACTACTGTGTGGCTTGCATTTATTGCTGGCTTCAAGGATTTTCTGTGGGGGAACCCTAATCAAAGGTTCACTTTCCTTCCGAATGACCTAGAAATGCGCCACGCAACATTCTTCTTTGGGTTGAGTGGCGCTTGGCCTGGACCCACCACCAACGCTTGGATTATTTATTATCTCTCCTGTCATGACAACAGAGAAAACATCACTAATTGCCCCCTTTAACCTTTCGATGATCACCTACAAGAGCTCATTTTCTCTGTGGATAGATTGTACATTGATAAGGCTACATCAAAACAAAAGAATCAGGCTGTTCAGAAAAAAACACCAAGAACGTGCCTCCTTACGGATTTAGCAACCTGATATTAGCAAGTACTATTCTGACTTTGATGGAGTATGCTACATCCCAAAGGAACTCCTCAAGGAATTCGACCCACATGACTGAGTCACCTATCCCACAGTAAAATAATTATCCCCCCTAACTCTCTGAATCAGTCACTAGCCATTAAAAATATATTAATAGGTGTAATAAATACAACAACTTCCATACTTAGGGTCATATTTTATTTCATGCCTGTGCTTCCTGCATGTTACATGGGGATGAACCAGCATGCCAAAGAATAAATGAGTGTTCAATAAATGTCAGAATCAGAATCAGAATCCAGGAAGAGGGCTTCAAACAGGTCTTCTAAGCTTACACCATCACTATCTCGCTCCTCAAGGAAATCCCAAAGCAGCACTGTCTGCAATTCAAGAGAAGCAAATACCACATATGAACCTCAAGTTGCCTGCATTGCTCCTGGCATATGAAATTGTGATGAGGACATACCTGGATGAACTCCACTTCTCCCTGAGCATTGCAGCGCTTTCTTCTCTTGGGAGGACCAACATCATAGGGTGTACCATCCGGTAACTGATGCAGATAGAAACACTTGTTACCAAATGGGCAGTCTCCACGTCCTTGCTTGAAATACTTGCAGTGTTTTTGGCTGGAAAAAAAAAAAGAAAAAATGGAGGGGGGGGGGGGAAAACTGTTAATTGACATTCCCTGATGGCATATAATAATAATTCCCAGCATCAGAATCAGAGTCCCTTACTTCATTCCATTCTTGTACTCATCAATGAGTTTCTTCTTCTTCTCAGGATCTTCAATCCAAATCCGTGAAGGGCAGACAAAATCCGACTTGGTGCGGCACTCGGGGCATGCCCTAATGACTTTGTTCTCAAATTGCCGGCTTCGCCTCCATTGTCGGATGCATTGGAGACAGAACACATGATTACAATTGGGCAGGATCCCAAATCGAGCCTCTTTGACCGGTTTCTCCAACACCGACTCCATGCAAATCCCACAGCATTTGTTCTGAGATTGGGCGATGAGGAAGGAGTGCTCCATGTCTGCCTCATGCTGTTCCAAGCACTCCTGTTTGTAACAGACATCAAGCATGTTATCCTATGAAGTGTAGTCCAGGCTTGTTTTGAGTACTTTTGAGTACTACAGCTGACCTTCAGATGATTCTTGCGCTGGATGACATCAGTGGGATGAAGACAAGAGATGCCACAGTACTCACACATATCCCCGTGGAGGTAGACGCAGTCATTCCCAAACTTACACTCTCCCATCATTGCGTAGGGGCAGAGCGTATCTCCATACAGAGCGTTGGGAACGTGGATGTTGTAGGGAACACCAGCTGAGACCATTGGAACCAAGCCACCACTGAGAGCCTCAGCATATGACACTCTTTGCATTTCTGAAAATAGTCAAGTCACCAGTGAGACTGCACAGAGGCAAATTCTCAACTCATTAAAGCATTTTTGGAAATGTCAGCATGAACCTCACCTTTCCTCCTGGGTATGAATTCAGGAGCATCCAGACAGAGACCTGACTTTGAAGACTGAGGCATCTCAGATGATGTAATCTTGACTCTTGTGCCCTGGGACTCTGAGTTGCCAGTCAGTCTGGTAAATGTCAATATAAGTGAATATGTGATTATTTGCCTCAGAATATCTTAGCTTGTTTGCTAGGTAATGACAATAGATCTCTACTGTGTGTTGCTGAGATCTGGGGGCAAGTTACCCCATGTTCCATCTTATCTTTCATTTTAAAGAGATAAGATGAGGGGTGAAAGCAAAAAAGTTAATTTTTAAGACCTCAACCAAAATGTGCTTGCCTTGTAAGCCAAAGATATTAGATTCAAATCCACAATTTGCCTATGCATAAACTTGTCCACAGAACAGGCACGAGCTATAATTTTACCCAAGGGGATTCACTAGACAAAGAATATGAGGTCAAAGTCAATAGAATAAAATGGGAATGTATGAATGTATAAAGCATACACCTGTTACTTCATTCAGTCTATTTCAAATGATCTGACTGCAATTCTTGACAATTTAAAGCAAACTACTTTGACTTTGACATGAGTAGTTGATCTTGTAGTTCTATTTTCAGTTAAATGGAAAAGTGAGTAATTGAAGTTATATTGTGCCTTGCCTCCATTATATACATTTTTAAAATTTGGACTCAGAGCACAACTATGAGTCTAAATGAGCTTGATCTACAAGTTTACTGGATCCAGGCTAGTCATATTCAGTTTCAGATATTGTAGTCCCAGATTGCATAAAATGAAATGAGGTGTTTGAAAGCAGAAATTTGTCTGCATGTATACATGCTCCAAACTCCAGGATCCGAGCTTAGCTCTTCTGTCCCTGAGTTCAACCTGTTCTCAGAAAATTAAAAAGGAATGAAAACTTCTGTATTGATTTGCAAATCTAAATGAGCCTGAATGCAAAAAATATATTTAAAATGTTGCACTATGAGTGTGCAACATCAAATAAAGGGAGGTTCTGGGAGAGTTTCAGGTTCACAAATCCTGATTTTACAGCCTTACTTATACACCTTCTGTGGTCCATATTGAGGTGGTTGTCTTCATTTAATATGAAATACTTAACTGCTTTAAGTGCTTTAAACCCTCTTATAAGTGAATCTCTGAGACCAAACTATTCCTAATGAACAGCCAGTATAGATTGGCTGAAAATACAGTACTACATGGCAAAGGTAAGTTTATATTAAAGTGTTTGCATTAGAGCCATAATGAATATGTCAAATTCCATAGTAATTTTATGAAACAAATTCCTCACCTGAACACAACAGTCTGATTTACTTAACAATAGGACTGGAAAGCAGGCCTAATTATACACCCACCTCACTTCCTTTTCCACCCAATGAGCTGATACCTGCTGTAAGAGTCTACATAATGGCAGAGCAAGACAGACTGCCTGGCCAGAGAAGATCAAGTCACTGCCCAAAAAGACATCCCTCTTCTTGGTGGGAAAGTGCCAAGGGTAGAAAAATTGGATGGGGATAAAGGGGGCAAACAGAGGGCATTGTCAATTTCATTTCATGCCAAAACAGATCTTTCTGTACTACTTTTCACTGGATACATCCTTCAACTCGTGTCAATGCCAGCTAAAAATTATACTAAAGAGAAGATATGTGGAGTTAAATTTAAAAAATTGAAATTCAATCTTAGCTAAATCTTAGTCTCTGGTGCTAAAATTTGCATACAATACAACAATGGAGGCTTCTCACATAGCCCTTAAGAACTTCGAAACAAAGTATACATACCTGAAATTTGCTCCTTGTCTACCCCCATCTCCAGATGACATCCCAGTGTTGGTCTTCTGAGGCTCATGACTGAATCTAAGTTTCCAGGATGAAATCACATTTTATGAATAGACTGTAACTTTCTTAGGATGGAGAACATGAACCTGCAAAATGACCTGCAATTAGCTCCAAAAGCACAGATCCCCTGCAAGAAGTAACGGCAGACTGGAACTGGTTTGAAAGGGTTGCCCATTTCATATTGAATGGGGTGAAGGAAGCGACAAGACTCCCCTTCCCTGCAAAACCCACTCAGGAAATACCTGAGAAAAGATTGAATTTAAACCATGCCATTCCTATCACATGAAAATCATATAAGTATTGAAATTTAGCTCATGTCTTTGAGAACAGAAATAGTAGGCAGGAAGGCATCCATACCTGCATCTTTCCGTTGCCTCTGTTCCAGCTGCCATTGATAGTAGCAATGAAGGTATCAGACATGAAGATTTGAAGGAGCGGTGAAGGTATAGACTATATCCAAGACAACTACTTCATAAAACACAACAATTACACCAAGTACAGTTCAGTGCATGAAGCCTGCAAGAAGATGTGGACACTCCAAAATCCCTAATTTTCTCCTTTATACACAGTTGGAGGGTAACAGTGAAAGAAAAAGTCATAATTAATTCTGGCAAATGCAAAAACTGAACTTATAATAATTTAAAATAATTTCTAGACTTTCCAGAGAATTTGGTACACCTAAAAGCTATTGTAGCTTATGATAAGACATTGCAATTCCATGATGGCGATCAAATGCCTTAAATTCTAGAGGAATGGAGGGGGAATGAAAGACTCTCACAGAAAGAAACCATTTTTGATAACTGCTTCCCTCTCTTTGGGGAGAAAAATTATTTGAACATCATGAAAACTCAATATTCAAAACTTTGACAAGACATTCTGATTCCAGATGTTCTAGATTAAGTTAAACAAGACTTTAAGCATGAAGTCACCTTATAACAGATATCACATTTTACTTACTTTTCTCAGAAATTTTCAAAGTTCCTAACTCAATATTTACCTGTATATTAATTGCATAGAAGAAAATGTTTAGTTATGCCGCAAAGACACCTGCCCTAAAGGATGTCTGACCCCAATGGTGAGGTATATGCAACATTTCCTGGTAGTGTGACAGGTAGCTATCTTTCTCCACAACATATGGCCACATGGCATCTACCCTCTTGGTCTGGAGGGCTACCTAGGGCCTCTAACACCTGGTCAGTGGGGAATATAAAAATGGTCAAGTGCTTATGCATACAACTTGGTTTTGCATTACACTTTTCTGAATTTCAGCTCCACTTGTTTAAGTTCCAATAAGCAGTGGAAAGGAATCCTGTTAAGGAAAAAAAGTAGATCCTCTTCAATTTCACCATGAACGGTTAATGTGAAACCTCACTCCTTTGGGGTGTATGCCCATCAAAACTAACCACACAGTATAACAAAATGCCACAGTTATACATCATGACATGAATGTCCTGTCCAAAAACTGGCTTCCTTGTCTACAACTAGCTAAACTGCTCCTTTACTGCAGATGCATACTGTAACTAGTGATGTAACTTCTGTAGCAAGCCAAAGAGAAAAAGGACATACAGTACTTCTGACAAAGCTACTAAGGCCAACCAACAAGATCTGACATCTAATGAAAGCATGGTCTTTAATCTAAAGCTTCCTCTGAATAGCTTCCAAACCTTTCCTTGACAATAGAGAGGAAAAGTGCAATTGCCAACTTGCAGTGTTAGTACTAAATTGTTATAACTGTTATATAGAAGGTACCTGAAATTCTGCAAATATTACAAGGGCTGAAGTTCAAGCTTTGGTTTAGTTTTTCGAATTTCAGAGGACAGTGTCTTCTAGCTCTGGGCCCAACAGAGGATAACTGAAGCAGCTTGTCTATATATACCACAGTGGTATGAGGCCTTTTTCAGACAGTTCAAAAACCTATATCCAACTGCATGTCAAATTCAGAGGACAGTGTCTTCTAGCTCTGGGGCCAACAGAGGATAACTGAAGCAGCTTGTCTATATATACCACAGTGGTATGAGGCCTTTTTCAGACAGTTCAAAAACCTATATCCAACTGCATGTCAAATATATCAGGAATCTTCATAGTAACATAAACATAAGGAAGTATAGTTTTTCAGGCTGACTTATCTTAATCTACATTTACCCAGTGTTTTCTTATGGGCTTTACTGTTGAGTTGTGAAATAGCAGTTCCTCACTTGAGAAAGGATGTTGCTCCATGGGCCTTACTCATCATAGTTCCCCTTCATCATTAATGATGACTGCAATTACTGTGTCTCTTGGGAACTGGTGACAATAGTACCATTGTAGGAAAATTGGTTTGTTAAAGTAAATTTGAAAGCACTACAGTAGCCTAGGTTACCCATCTTTTAACTTCACATACCATACATACATAGCATGTTCTAGGCTCAGCAAATTGAATGATGTCCAATCAAATTGCAATTTTCATGGTTTCAGAGGGCTCCTCTAGCCTCAAAGTATGGCCTAAGTTAGCGTACCATGGAAAACCAACGCGTCTATATGCTTAGACATAACGTTTCACATATGTACACGTAGTCACTACTAGGTCTCAGCCAAGAGATTTTTAAAAAAAACGCGAAAGAACGGAAGGAGCCTAAGGACAATAGTTTAGCAAGTATATCGTAGCATATATATGATATTCGAGCAAGAGGAACACAGATCCAAGCCTGCGCTAGGCATAGATCCAAAAAAAGAAAGGGCAAGAATCATTAAACCTGCATAGCCGAGGTTAAAGCGATTCAGGGCCAAAATAAGTTCGCCCTTTCGAGAAGTGCTTGAATAGAAAGTGGAGGGGACGGAGGACAGTGAGAAAGGAGAAGATAGCCCCTTTGCTTTGAGCTCCCCCTGTCCGCGTCCATGTTTATCATTGGAAACCAAGATGGCGGAGACGGGCTGGCATGTTTACCCAATCCCACTCCCACTCTTCCCCCTCCCTGCCTTTCCCGTTAGGTTAGGCCTACATCTAGTGAGCGAGTTGTTTCTGCGAGTCGCTAGCCTTTAACTCTAAGGTTTTAGCGTAGTGCAAGGATCTCACTCAGGGTTAACCTAGACTTACTGGCTTAAATATAACATCACCTGGCCTCATCATGCCAACCGCCTAGGCCTATTGTTCAACATACATGACGGTTCACGTGGATTATACAAACTTCATGGATCGAATAGCGAAGGCCTTTGCAATAACAAAATAATTAATCACTAACCTAAGCCTAGGCCCGTAATAAAGTTGTAAGTTCTTCATATAGGTTAATCCCCAGGCATAAACAACAGAGAACAAAGAAGGGTCATGGGCTTGAAGTTTAATAATGTATGATCACAAAAAATGTGAGGAGCATTAATCAATAGAAGTCCAAAAAAATGAATTATTATGTGTGCATAATTCAATAGAGATAGCTCATGACTCACTAAAATCTCATGTTAGATATGAACATGAGGGTAATAAATTCCAAACACATTTTTCAGAATTCCTCTGATTTGGATTAAACTTTGTATATCTATCAGCACCTGTGAGCAGCTAACCCACATCGAATATTGAGTTCATGAGACACCTGATTTCTGAGGTGTGAATTAATAAAATTTGACTGAAATGCATCCTAGATATATCCTGATAAAATATTCCCCATTAAATTTCTGTTAAGGAGCCCTTTCTTGTTTACTCCATTCAGGCTCTTTATATTGGCGTGAATAATTTTTAGCTAAGGAATGAAGGCTAACTTTGGGTGAAGATGCCTTGTTTGACCTCACTTTGTTTAGGAAAAAAATAAAACAATTTAGATTGTGAAAAATTTTGCCTGAATAGTAGGGGAGACATTTGCCTACCTCCAGAGGTCAATTTTTACTTTGCCTCTGTATACATTTGAGAGATGTTAGGACATTTGCATAAAATCTAATAAATTGACATTTCCCTAGGCCCCTGTATTCCCAAAGAGGTCCATGTAAAAAGGAATGTTTTCAACTGATTTTATTTATGTTTCATTCAAATCATTGGAGGTCATCATGTTAAAATGACTTGTAATGACCCTAAAGGGAAAGTAGCTATTATGAGTCTTGATGCTGACAATAGAAAGGGAATGGTTGAAATAAGAAACTATTGTACATCCCAGAAAAATCAAGGCCTGAAGCATAATACCTCCTTGAATAGCCTAAAGCCAAGTTCACTTTTGCAAAAGAAGAAACCTGGAACATTATCAGAGAGGTCACATGCAAGACAAATCATTTAAAGCTAGAGCAAAATCAGTTTTTACCTCATGGAAGTTTGACCTTGAATGAGGAAATTGTCAAAACCAAATTAAAAAGACATGCTATATCCAGGGGTGTCCTATATGTAGTTATATCTGTGGCAGCATAGATACTCTTTTTTTTTCATATTTCTCACTTCATTGAGAGCAAGAGCTTTCAGTCCAGTGGCTTATAGTCCATGTATGGGGGAAGAGCCCACATCCAGGAAGCACTTGACAGCAAATGGATGGTGAATCCTTTTAATAGCCTCAACTAGGCTAAGGGAAAGATATGAAGGACCTGCAGCATGATGTGTTTAAAGACATGTTGTTTATTCAGGGTTGTTAGGTTGCCCCCTCACCACCTGTGTACCTGTAGCCAAAAATGCTATTGAAAAGAATTAGGTCATTCATTTTCCAATATCCATGGTAGCATCTGCTGTTATAATGGCCGAGCAACTTGCACTGATGATGAAGAGAGGAGAAAATCCTATAACTAAGTTGCTAATATTTTATCTTCTCATCTTTGACATCCCTTCTCTTCCCTGAAGGGGATCTTCAAATTGCCCTTCAGCCCCACTGTCAAATAGCTCTTCCCCTCTTACCTCCTTATTGGGAAGCCAAACCAAAGGTCTATTGTCTTCATTAATCATCTTGTTTAGAGAAACTGGTTTTTTGATACATGGACTATATGAGTTTCAAGCAGTTAGGGAGTTCAATGGTTTGGTACTTGATGAAAAAGAGCCAGAAAAAAGTTACTATGAGAGATATAAGAAGTCCATGGGCTACTCTAGATGTATTGTTGCTGCAGGAAAAATAAACTTCCAGGAACTTGTTTTTTCTTTGTAGGGTTGACAATTGTAATTTTTGACAAAATATGCTTATTATTATTCATGTAGCAAGGTAGCTATAAAGCATGAAGCCTGTCATGTCACCTCTGCACTGAATCCATAATAGTACAAGTGCTATTTGCTGCTTCTTCATTGGCATCTTAAAGAGTGCTCATGGGCTTATTATCAATGTTTTATGGCTACATTTCATCTACCCATCCATTGGCTGCACCTGCTATAAATGCAAATGACATCAGATGATCAGCACTACTTATGTAATGTGTGTTTAATTTGTGCAACATTTTCCTATGATGTGATGTTGTTTTAAGTTTCACTGAGCTGCACTGCATAGTAATTATACTAGAGCTCTGTACACTCACCTATTAACTAAATTTATAATCATGTCACTACATACACTGGCTCATAAGAGTAAACTAACTTGCTACCAAGTAGCAAGTTAGCAAGTATATCTTCAAATATATGAGATTCCTATTGCCAGAAGTGCAACCTCTTTTCCAGGTTTCTTGAACCTCAACCATTAATGACATCTTAGGATTCCAAGAGCAAGAAATGTAAGTAGACATATGATACATCTAGGGAACTGGCCATTTAGTCTGGATTAACAAAAACCTGCCCAAGTGACCATTCTTTTTTTTTTTCTGGAGAATAAAACTTTGCCTCTAATGTGCAAAGAAAGGCCTTAATATTTTTGCACAGGAATCGGAAAACTTGGACTTGGTTCTTTCGATTCACACAAGTACATACAATTGAGTCGCATAAAAGATATTCCAAATTTTCTTTTGCTTCAATTCTTGCATTTTCATGAGGGACACCAGCCATGATAGAATCCAGTGGCAGTGCATAAATGTTGGTAGTCAGCACTTTAAACACCTGTAGATATGCTATTGTATTATTTCTAAAATAAATAGAATAAAAATTATATTGGGTATAATTTTAAAAGACACCCTGTAAAATTTGTTGGTTCATATCACAGTCCAGATTGCAGTGCATGATGGTAAATAAAAAGATGTAGAAAATTGGATTTTGAAAAAAAAAAGTCAACTAGTTTGTACAGTCAACAAGTTGAAACCCAAGTTACACTCAGCTTCACTGGAAACTGGAATTTGTAAATTGAACTGCACTTATGGTAAATAGATTGAAATGCAGTTGATGTTATTGTGATCACATTCAAGGAAATTTTATAACATCAAATGGCTGATTAAAAAAAATAGGGGGTGGTTATCAATGTCACTGCCTGTTGGTATTTGTTTTTGAGATTTTATCACATTATCTGACATGACAGAAACTAGCAAATCAAAATTTAAGCAGTGTTCACTGTAGCAGCAAATGGAAACTAGAATTCTCCAGTACTAACATTATCTCTAATTTTGATAGTCCTATCATACCTTCTAATTGGTATCATGGCTCATGTTTCCATTAGCTAAAATGGAAGCAAAGCAGCCAACTGTTAGGCTTATGAAATGGAGTTTATTTAAAGGATCTGATTGATGATGACCACAATGAAATTCTTTGCTGATGTGCCTGCAGGTTGCAAAGCACTACTGTGAATCTAGATGGTGAAACCAAGGATGTGGTGACAGGCTTCAAAATAATGGGTAATGATGTTAGGCCTGGCAGTGCCAAGTCATATGATTATTTGCTGAAGTTCCTCCTTGTTGGAGATAGTGATGTTGGCAAGTCAGAGATTATGAATGGTCTAGAAGAAGGAAATACTGATTCCCCATTTTCCAGTGGTGCAGGTGAGACATTTTTAATGTCTTAGTGTGTGCAAATAATTGCCGTACTTCCCCAAAGAACTCCACTTTGGTATATTGGTGTAGAGAGAGATCATAGTGAGTCATATGTATTATATTCACAGTGGCATGCAAGACCACTACAATCCTCCTTGATGGGAAGAGAGTGAAGTTGCAAGTTTGGGACACATCAGGGCAAGGGCGTTTCTGCACCATTCTCAGGTCATACTCAAGAGGTGCCCAAGGTGTCCTCCTTGTATTTGATATTACAAACAAATGGTCTTTCGATGGCTTGGAGCGATGGATGAGAGAGATTGAATCAGTGAGTTCATTGCAGATGGAATCATAAAAATGTGCAATTTTCAATCTGAGCTATTGTACTATGTATTGCATGACTGTGTCTTCCAAAGAATGCCCCAGGAGTACCCAAGCTGCTGGTGGGTAACCGGCTTCACTTGGCTTTCAAGCGTCAAGTGGGACAGAGGGATGCCGAGGAGTATGCCCGCAAGCACGGCATGCCATTCTTTGAAGTCAGCACCCTATGTGATTTCAACATTTCTGAGAGCTTCTCACAGTTAGCCAGACTGGCACTGTCGAGAAACGGAATGCAGCACCTCTGGAGGTCTCACACAGGTAACAAAGCACTACTTTCTGTCTCCTGATGCATTCTCTGTTGAAAAAAGCTTGAAAATGAAAACAGCATTAAGGGAGCAATGGGTAAGTTGATTCAACTTGCAATGAACTTGGAATAATTATACAGAATTTATTATGGAAGTGTTTGTACAAGATAGTCACTTCATGGTTCTTACTAGGTTATAACAAAAGTTTTTGTGCATACAAACAACGCAACAATCCACAAAGCACAATTTTTTTGTCACACATTCTGAATGCTGTAATTTGTATAAATTTAGCTATTTGTAAAAAAAAAGCAGCATATTTATATGCTGCATAAAACGTGCTTTTGTTCAGAATGTGTGCCGAAAATTTTGTGCTTTGTGGACTGTTGCGTTGTTTGTATGCACAAAAACTTTCTCATTACAACCTAGTAGATTTCTGCAATCTGAATACAGCTCAGATGTAATCACAAGCCAGGGTTCTTGTCATTATTACCTATTGATCTGAAGCACAGTCTATAATATCTCCAACAATAGGTAATAATTTATGCTATGTCACTCCACTAAAAAATGAGACTGATATCTTTTGTAGAAACCCAGATAGGAAAGAATGCAGGACCTTGTCTACGAGGGTCACTCAATAAGTTATCTACCTGAATAAGAAAGAAACATCCGAGGGGAAAAATAACACTTTATTTTTCAATGTAGTCACCTTTTAACTCGACACACTTATTCCACTTTGATTCCAAGGATTTTATTCCCTGGGAATAGAAGTCAACTTCTTGTCCATCAAACCAATCAGAAATGGCAACTTTCAGCTCTTCATTGCATGAAAATCTTTTTCCCCGCAAAA